GGGGCACACCAACCCCAACAAACAACTCACACGCAGACAGAGACACAGACCCTCTGATCCCTCTGACCCAGCACACACTCTGACATAGGGGCACTAGCTCCCACACAACTGGGAGCGTCCCCCACTCCCTTGCAGGTCTCACAGCAGGTGGAACCTGCCCTACCCTGGTCGCTGCGGATCCGGCCTTCAGGCGGCAGCGGTTTGGGAGCCATGCTGTTCTCACTCTCACGGTCTCCTGAGGGCAACCCTCTTCCCACGAACGAAGTCAAATAGGTCCCGCTGCTCACTCTGGTATTCCCAGGGTAGGTGGGGCTGGGAGGGGGACTGAGGTCAGGCATAACAGAAGGAGACTTTTCCTTCTAGAAGTGGAGGATACACAGGTGTGGGGGAGCCGGCGCTTGGGGGTGGGCAGGTGGGCTTAGTGCTGTGCTTTCGGAGGGCCAGGCCTCTCCTAGAACCCCGTGTGTAAGGAGCCCCGCCGCTCGCCCTGCAGATCTGGAGTCTCCTGCCTCCTAGTCAGGGCGGGGGGGGAGGGAAGGGGGGAAAGAAAGGGGGGCACCATCACTTCGGGCAGGCAGAGATCTGGGGTCAAAAGATGTACCAATTTCGCCCAGATGCCATCTCATTCCAGAGCTGCAGCGGGGTGGAAGGACGGGAAGAGGGTGCCTTCGGCCAGTCTCGCCACTTGCCCCAGGCTGGCCAGGTTTGTGAAAAAAAATGAGAGAACCGTGCAGATGTCATATCTGTCCCCTTGTCCAGCTAAGGCTGCGGTTTGCAGCCAGGTCACACTAAGGGGTGGATTTCCAAGCTCACGGAACTCAACCCAGGAAAGACTGAGGGCAATGCAGCCACCAGGTCTCCTCTAGGTCGCTCAGCGCCACTTTTCGCCAGTCTCACGATTGACTTAATTATATTCTCATAATCAGGGAAGACTCCCATCCCCCTGCCCCCCCCAGCTCTAAGAGCATGTCTACCTGGACCACAAAGAGGGGAGGAAGAAGCCATATGGGGAGAGATGCCACTGATAGCAACACATCTCAACAAACACATAACAACCGCTCCAAGTTTTAGAACATTTTACAGTAGAACACTGCCAAAAAGACCCCCCCCCCCGCCAGCAAATGCTTCCTCCCAGTCCTTTCTGGGCTGCTCACGAGAAGTGGCCAAATAGTGAAGCAGACGAAGAAAGAGGCTGGGCACAAGCTCTGTCACCCCTGCTTCTCTGAGGCTGCAGGCATGGGTGCTGGAACCCAATTTTCTGGAAAAACACCCAAGTTTTCCAGGTGGATGTGACAGGCTTACACACAGGGCTCACACAGCAGGAAGGGCTGGAGCCCGGGGAGAAGGGCAGAAAGAAAAGGAATCTCCAAACCCAGGTGGCCCTTCTCCCAGCCCCGAGTGCATTGTCCAAACAGGCCCATTAAAAGGGAGGAGAAGCTCCCAGAAAGCCTTACCTCTGGCAAGAGTGGAGCCTGGCCAGGGGCTAAGCAGCCATTTGGGTAAACAGATCAGGTCTGGGCTGGGAGTCCAGACACCTGGGTCCAACCTAACTGGGGGACCGGGAGCCTTCAAAAGCCTGGAAAGTCATGTGATCTACTGGGCCTTGTTTTGTGTGTGTGTGTGTGTGTGTGTGTGTGTGTGTATGTATTTGAAGGACCTGGGTGATGATTCCTTAAGATCATACACCACTCCCACTTTGCAGAGGTGGGGAGGAGGATGGGTTCCCTTTCCCCAATCTGAGTCCCAGCATCCATCCTGAGGAGCAGGGCCAGGCAAAGGCAGGGGCCAGCAGCTGCAGCTGCTCTGCTTGTAGCATTAGAACCCAGGATATCTGGGGAAGCAAATGCCTCAGCCAGTCTTCCTGAGGCTGGGCAGGGGACTGGAGCCTGGGGAACCAGGAGAGCTCTGGCAAGTAAGGAAGCTACTTATTTATTTACATTTGGCATGTTGGAAATGAAGACATTTAGAAGGGGAGATGAACGAGGATAGTGCCAGTCTTGCTTTTCTCTCCATTTGCTTAGACACTAGCAGAACGGAGCTGGCTTGGAGTTGTGCGGTAGACAGTATAGAGTTTCTGTGATGTGAGAGAGACTGAGCATGCTGGGGTATGTGTCGGTTGCCAGATTAAAATTAATTTGCTAAGTCTAGCAACCCTAGCTATGTGAGTTCTGGACTCATGAAAGAAATTTTTCTCCAAAGGCCCCCTCTCCCCTACAAAGCCCTATCACCTAGGAAATTCTGATTCCAGGGCCACTAGTTCCTGCCCAATTTCCTGTCCATGGCTTAAGGCCTGGACCTCTTCTCTTTCCCCCAAGAACAGGATTTATGCACCCCAGCATACTAGGTGGATCCCCTTTGTCTGAAGGCCTAGAGAGGAGCCCAGAGGAGCTGCTCTCACAGGATATGAGCAGCCAGCCTTCTACCCTCCTTTGGCTCAGGAGAACGGAGAACTCTATCATGAGGATTCTGTAACAAGAGTGGCACCTAACCCTAGTTTGTCTTGTTGGAGAGCCTAGGGGAGTCCCTTCCCTCCTGGGGCCTCTGTTGGCCTATCTGTGGAACTGAAAAGTTAGCTTCACACTAGATCAGTGGTCGGCAAACTGCAACTCACGAGCCACATGCGGCTCTTTGGCCCCTTGAGTGTGGCTCTTCCACAAAATACCAGGGCCTGGACGAGTCTATTTTGAAGAAGTGGCATTAGAAGAAGTTTAAATTTTAAAAAATTTGGCTCTCAAAAGAAATTTCAGTAGTTGTACTGTTGATGTTTGGCTCTGTTGACTAATGAGTTTGCCGACCCCTGCACTAGATTATTCCATATATTGGAGGCTGCTGTTAGATGAAAGTGAGAATTCCTCCACCCTCACATGGGCTCCGCTGAGATACAGCCTGCAGGGGCTGCAAATCGCCTCCCACCCTCTTCTCAGTGCTTATCTGCAAGGGGCCTAATTCTACACAGTGACTGGGTGGCAGTGGTAACCCACTGAGTCAGAGGGCTGCACCAGGTCTTGAGAACAGGCGGGAGAATACACCACCTTTGACTCCTTTTTTTCTTCCCAGGAATCTTCAAAGTGCTCACACTACCCTCTTCAAAAGTAACCCAGAATGATTCTGCTACTTTTACATATTAGTCATGACTGCGATGTTTTTAATCTTATTTTTACAGAGGAAGAAACAGAGGCACGAAGACTTATGAAACTTATCCAAGGTGTCAGAGCTGGTAAGTACAGGACTGGGACTCCAGAAACCTGACTCCAGGCTTTCTGCTTTTCATTACTAAGCAAAGAAGAGAAATGAGGCTGGCAAGGGAAAGTAACCTGCTGACTGTCATAGAGCAAGACTGTGGAACTCAGTTGGGTCTCAGGCCGCGAGAGTCTGAGCTTTGACCACTGCGCGGCGCTGTCGGGACAAGCAGCCGGCCCGTAAGCTTATTCTTGCCTACCTCCAGGGTCCAACTCCCCTTTCACCCCTCAGAGGTTGAGATGGGCCCGGTCTGAGCGGGTTCTACGTTGCTGGGGTCCTGGTGGGAGACCACTCGGGAAGAGACAGGCCTAGTGAAATGGGAAGGAATCCGGCTTTCGAGAAAAAGGGTACAGGACCAACCTGAGTGTGTGCACAGGATTCTGAGAGATGAAGGCAACACTGGCACAGGCTGGGCTGCGGTCAGGGTTCATTAAAGAAGGTTTCCGGTGGGAGTCCTGCTGCCTGTCTCTAGAACCTACAAGTCCAGCTAGAAAGTTGCCGGGGGGGGGGGGGGCAGCCCTTCAGAGTGACTGGAGTTGGGGTTGGGGGAGAGAGAGAGGAAAACTGAGCAAGGGATTCCCAGACACACAAACAGACATCCAGGCAAATGCAGGGTTTCCGCAGAAGACGAGACAAGGGTTCACGGAAGGCGAGAAAGACAGAATCACAACCGATACCGAGACAGAAGAAGTACAGGAAAACTCAGAGCTAAGGTGCAGACCACGCTCCCGGGACCAAGGCGCCGCACACAAGCGCGCGGGGGTAGCTTGGCAGGGGAGTGACGGGCAGGCGGCGCACTACCTGGGTCGCCGGGGCACCGTCCCTCCTTCGGAGTCCAGCGGCGCGGGCGAGAGGAAGGTGGCGGGGTCTTGCGGAAGAAAGAGCCTGAGCAGTCGGAATCTCTCACCTCTCCGAGGCCCGAGGCTGAGAGCTCCAAGTTTGCTCCTCGCAATCGCTCCGGTGCGTCTTCCCTGGGGCCGGAAGCCACTGGGCTCCGGTGGCCCCCGCTCCCACGGCGATCGTCCCGGCGTCTCCGGGCCCCGATCGCGCTCCAGCCGAACTTCGGCCTCGGTGGCCCTGGCTCTGCCTCGGGGAGAGAGGTGATGGGTGGAGTCTGTCGCTACTTTTTCTGGCTCTGGCTGGCGCCCAAGTGAACCTCAGTATCCAAGGACTGCGCGCACTGAAGGCAGCAGCGGCTCCAGGGAACGGACGACTGGCGGGGTCTTCGGGGAGAACAGGAGGACCCCGCCTCCGGCCCGAGCGGGCTCCGGCCTTGGCGGCGGCTGTGGGTTCCCGCCGGGCACCTCCGCGGAGCCACTCTGCCCGCCCCCGCCCGCCCCGCCCCACCCGCTGGGGGAGCTCCGCCCCCGGTGCGCGCTCTTCCGCCTTGGGCAGCCTCTGGGCCGGAGGGTCGGATTCCCCAGCCCTCCAGCCCCCGAGCTCGGGTGGACCGGGAGCCGAGGCTGGTTAGGGTGGAAGGACCCTCTTAACTCCTTCCGGGTGCAGGCCCTGCTCCGGGCTCCCGGGGCAGCGGAGAGGGCCGCCAGTCCGGTGCTCGCCAAGAGGGGAGAGCCGCTGAGTTAGGCCACGAGGGGGCGCTGCGGAGCTGGGGGGACACCCCTCCCTGTCCGCCTCAGTCCCCCGCCCCCTCCCCGCCCGCGCGCAAAACATACTCGCCCCAGAGGCAGCGCCGCGGAGCCGGACCCGCGGCCGGAGCGGAGCCGGAGAACGGCGGTGGCGGCGGCGGCGGCGGCGGCACCATGACCCTGGGCAGCTGCTGCTGCGAGATCATGTCCTCCGAGAACTCTCCGGCCGCGCTGTCCGAGGCGGACGCAGACATAGACGTGGTGGGCGGCGGCGGCGGCGGTGGCAGCAGCGGCGCGGGGGGAGAGCTCCTCGCCCGCTCCGGGCCCCGGGTCCCCCGGGACGCGCTCCCGAACGGCCCCGAGCCGCCCTCGGAGGAAGCCGAGGCGGACGCCGCGGAGGAAGAGGAGTCGGGCGGCTGCTCGGACGGCGAGCCTCGCGCTCTAGCGCCCCGGGGGGCGGCGGCCGCAGCGGGGAGCCCCGGGCCGGCCACGGCGGCGGCGGCGGCGGCGGCCCGAGGCGCGGCGGGGCCCGGGCCGGGGCCGCCGTCGGGGGGCGCGGCGACGCGGAGCCCGCTGGTGAAGCCGCCCTACTCGTACATCGCGCTCATCACCATGGCCATCCTGCAGAGCCCCAAGAAGCGCCTGACGCTGAGCGAGATCTGCGAGTTCATCAGCGGGCGCTTCCCCTACTACCGGGAGAAGTTCCCCGCCTGGCAGAACAGCATCCGCCACAACCTCTCGCTCAACGACTGCTTCGTCAAGATCCCCCGCGAGCCGGGCAACCCGGGCAAGGGCAACTACTGGACGCTGGACCCGGAGTCGGCCGACATGTTCGACAACGGCAGCTTCCTGCGGCGCCGCAAGCGCTTCAAGCGGCAGCCCCTGCCGCCGCCGCCACACCCACACTCGCACCCGCACCCAGAGCTGCTGCTGCGCGGCGGGGCCGCGGCGGCGGGGGACCCCGGCGCCTTCCTGCCGGGCTTCGCCGCCTACGGCGCCTACGGCTACGGCTACGGGTTGGCGCTCCCTGCCTACGGCGCCCCCCCTCCCGGCCCGGCCCCGCACCCGCACCCGCACCCACACCCGCACGCCTTCGCTTTCGCCGCTGCCGCCGCCGCCGCCGCCACTGCGCCCTGCCAACTATCGGTGCCACCCGGCCGTGCCGCTGCGCCTCCACCCGGACCTCCGACGGCCTCGGTGTTCGCGGGAGCGCCCTCCGCTCAGGCCCCGGCGCCAGGCACGGGGTCTGGCCCGGGCTCGGGACCCGCGGGCCTTCCCGCCTTCCTGGGCGCAGAGCTGGGCTGCGCCAAAGCCTTCTACCCCGCGTCCCTGAGCCCCCCCGCAGCCGGCACCGCGACCGCCGGCCTGTCCACTGCGCTCCTGCGCCAGGGCCTCAAGACGGACACGGGCGGCGGTGCGGGCGGCGGGGGCACCGCCGGGGCCGGGCAGAGGCCTTCCTTCTCCATAGACCACATCATGGGCCACGGTGGCGGCGGCGGCGGCGGGACTGCACCCCCGGGCGGAGGCGAGGGCTCGCCGGGATCGCCGTTCGCCGCGGCGGCGGGTCCTGGAGGTCAAGCCCAAGTCTTGGCCATGCTGACTGCCCCTGCCTTGGCTCCTGTGGCGGGCCACATCCGCCTCTCGCACCCTGGGGAAGCCCTCCTGTCGTCAGGGCCCCCGTTTGCCGGCAAAGTGGCCGGCCTCAGTGGCTGCCACTTCTGACCGCGTCGGGGCTCAGGGGCCCTGGTGCCCGCGCTCAGCCTCTCCCGGCGGCTCCCGCGGTCGGTCCCAGCGGAACTCAGGGAGTCTATTGGCGAAGAGTCTCTCCAGACCTTGGGCCGGATCGCGCGCGCCACTTGGCTCCGCGTTCTGAATATCCGCGATCGATCGTTGGGACCAAGCGGGCTCCATCGCTCAGGGAGAGTCCGGGTCTCCGAGACAAGGTCCAACCAAGCTTTGATTCCATTCCAGTTTGAGCAGCGAGAGGGGAATGCGGGGAGCCTTCGCTTTTCCCAGCCTCTGCGCCTCTGGCAGCCTCGGAAGAATGCTTTCCCGGTGCCTACCCAGGCCCTGCGGATCCCGCCAGAAACCACCAACTGCGCAGAGAGGTCTTCCTCTCTATATCTCCTTCACTCCTCCCCCGACTTTGAGATCTTGCTTGTCCAATATTATAATTTAAAGACATCTATTATCTGCTCCATACTTAAAAGAAAAATTCAAACCCCACCCCTTGCTATTCTCCAAGGAAGTTCATTATCGCGGAAGCCTAAGGCTGTGTCTACACAGGTGAAGCTGAGCAGAGAGCTGAAGCGAGGTGTCTCCGAAATCCCTCTGGAAACCCTGGATCCCACTCCGCTGGGGAGCATCCTTCCCCTTTTGTGTTGGGATGCCTTGGAAGGAACATTTCCCCTTTCCCATAGCTGGTTGGGTCCCGCCAACCAGGGCCAGCCGCCCTGTCAGCGATCTACTCTGTCCCAGGCCCTGGGATATTTATTATAGCTAAAGGCAATGAGTTTAGGGTGGGAGAGGAGGGTCTGGGTCAGGGACTGGAGAAGTGGGGGTGGGGTGGGTGAGGGCACATCCTGTGGCAGGGGGTCCTGTAATTATGTGTAAATATCTGTACAGCCGGCTGCTATCTGCGTTCTCTGTCCACTGGGTGTGCATTGATTTAGACTTCTCCACTGTGGGAAGACTGTGAAATCCTCTGACGGTTTGTGTGGAAGAAAAGAAAAAATCTGTCTCCCCTTTCTCCCCATTGGTGTCAATTGAATAAATGTATGTGAACTCCAGCAGTCACCAGCTCAGTCTGCTTGCCTGCACTCCCCTTTTTAGGTAGTCAGGGCTCTCCCAGAAGACCTTCCCCCAGCTTTCGGGGCGAGGGCAGAGGTGGACTGAGGAAGGGTCCTGGGCATCCCAGGCAGGCAGAAGAGGGCTTGGGCTATTGGGTGTGGGAGAAACTATGGCCTTGGCCTTTGCTGTTCATGCGCCAGGACTCTGGGAGCCCTGTGACCCCTCCAGTGCTTTCATTTTCGCTCTGGTCCAGGAAGGTTTCTGCAGAGAGGTGTTATTTCAAATGCACCTGGGAGTCTCATCTTCTTTGAGTTCAGACTTTAGTGTGGGCAGATCTGGGTGCCCAGCGCTGTGGACACTATGCTTATTGAGTACAGTTGAAGTGGCTGTGTCTCCTGTGCATTTTCTGCGTGCTTCTATGTGTGGGGGCTTTTATGCAGCTTGTGATGTGTTTGTTTGGGTTGTCAATATCTGTGTTTTGTTGTCCTTTTTAGAGGGGATGAATTGTACTTCAGGATATCTGTGTTTTAATTTATATGTGTGTCTGTGAATGTGTGTCTGTGACCTTCTGTCGCCTTCTATTTCTATGTCCCTAAAAGGAGAGAGGTTTCTGATGCCACTGTAGAGTCTTCCTGATCCAACCACGTAATAGAGTGAGTGGCTTGAACTGGGGACTATGAGACTCTTCTCTTTCCTAGTCCAAGGGGATTAGAGGTGTGCTATGTGGTAGAGAGTCAGTGTGGTCATATTTTGTTAGGGAAAACCTTCTTAATACTTGATCCATGATTATATTATAGCTGGAACCTATTGCTTGAATGCAAAGCCATTGCGTTGGCTAGTGTCTTCCATAAGCCACCGAGCCTCCCTGTGGTCAGACTGGCAAAGCATGTGGGGTTAGAAGAGATGCTTTTGTAAGTCTTTCTCTTATATTCAACCAAAGTCGTAGGGGAGAATAAGTGATATGGAGGTGCAAAAGAGGAAGCTCAGCCTTCACAGAAAATAGACACTTGCAGAGGGAGAGGGTTTGCAGACAAGTGATAGAGAAGGAAGAAGACAGAGAGAACTTGAGAGGGGTAGGCAGGGGGAAGCTATACAGGTCTTTTTAACCAGATTCCTGGGCATTGATAATAGCAGGAAAAAAGGAGAAGAAAGAGGGCAGTGCCCTATAGAAGAGGGTCAGGGTGGAAGACCGCACAGGGCTGAGGGAGAGTGGTTGGGACTGCTAAATCTCTCAGCCCAGTGGAGGAGAGACAAGGTCCCAGGTACATCAGGTAAAGGCAGCCCTTTTGCTAGAGCTGAGGTGCCCTCTCTTCCATCTTGTTGAGAGACAGAAGTGGAGGCAAAATGAATGCATGCTGTGTGCCATCTCCCCCTGATTTTATCAAGCAGACCAAGAGAGGTAAGGCTGAACTCAATAGTAACAAAAGGGACTGACTATTGATACCTGGATATCCCAGGCTGGCTGCTTGGTGGATTTCCATAGCTGAATTTGATTTCATTTCTTTTCACTTGAGGAAGGTTGAACATGACTGTGTGTTTACCCACAATAAAACACTTTGTGGCTTACACAATCCCATTTATTTGTGAATAGGCCACTTCCAGATATTAGTTTGGAGCTTCAAGTAAAAGTTTTATCCATTGGTCTTTCCTCTCTAGAAGAGAGAAAATTAAGTCAGCCAGAATTCATACATGATGATGGATAGATGAGATGCTTCTACAACTTCTATTCCAAAAGAAGCAGCAAATCCTTCCAGTTTCCTCAATTTGTCTTTGTGAAAGTGTGTGACGGTTTATCAGGGTGCATTGCTTGGTGTCAGAGGGTCCGTCCAGATCCGGAGAAGGTAGAGATAAGAGGATTGGGAATGAGTGAGACACGCTTTCAGGGGCTTCTGTGGAGCTTGGGACCTCAGACCCCGAGTTTCCCACAAGGCCAAATACAGGCCAGATATACTGGCTGAGTATTGGGGTCCAGAAAGAAGACACACCTGTGTCATCTGGCCTTGAAAAGCATCAGAAAAAGATTGGTGAGCCACCCGTGGCCTGGAAGCAGGAGAGGAGGGTGTTTTGAATTTGGGACAGCTTTGGGTTGTGTGGGCCAGAAACTTGTTAATTAGAAGATGGCAAGGACCCCCTGTGAGCAGAAGCAAGGAGAAGAATGAGGCATCACAGCTTTGTCTGGTAGAGTCCTCAGGCTTGCCACCCCCTCCAGGCCAGACTGGCTGGTAAGTGGCTCCCTTCCAGCCTGTGGGTGCACAGGTTGGGTGTTCAGTGAAGGCCAGTCTTCCTGGAGGAGAAATAGGCCATCCCACCTCCAGCGGCTCCTATAGCTCCCCCCACCCCCCTACCGTTTGGGTGGGGACAGCTGAGCCTCTGGCCTCGAAGACCCCAACAATCTGTGACAATAATAAAATATCCAGGGAACACCTTCAACTCTCGAGGTGAGAAAAAAAAATGCTAAGAAATCTGCTTGGGGGGTTCTCAGAGTGCTGCCGAGCGGGCAGTTTAAAGGGGAAGAAAATTGGTGAATTTCGCTGGTCAATTTCACTTCATTTCGTTCAATTTCGTTCAATTTCATTCCTTTTCATCCTGCGCCTGGGAGGCCCCAGGCCAGAAGAAAGGGGAGGGAGTCTTTCCGGGCAGAATTTCCCCCATCCTGAAGATTTACTTTCTATTGCCGAGAACAGCCTTGATTTTCAAACTTTGATATTCCTTCAGTTCTGGCTAAGGGCGGTTGTTCTATTTTATTTTAGTGAAGGATATTTGGTTGGGGGGGTGATCGAGGCACACCGGTGAGCCTCTTCTCTCCACTTCTGTCTTGCAACCCAATTAAAGCGGTGAATTCTTTTCACCGCTGATTCTTCCCCCATCTTTCTTTCTCCTGGGGCACCCCAGACCACCCAGGAGCGGGAGCCCGGGTGGGGGCGGACACTTCCCCTCCGTATCCAATTTGTTCTCGCCGCAGCGGGCGCGTCTTCCTGGTTACAAAGCGCTTTTTCCCTGATGACTTTCTTCCCCTTTTCAAAAACACTTCACTCTCTCCCCTTCAGCGAGCAACCCTCCCCAGGCCCGCCCCTCCTCCTCCTCCTCCTCCTTCTCTCGGGGTTTATTTAAACTTCGCCTCCTCCAGCACCGCCGCAGCGCGCGCTTAATGAAGTTGAAGGCTCGGTGAGCCCCGGGTGAAGAGGGTTTGGAATCTGTTGAAAGGGGTGTTTTGTGACACTGATTGCGGCGGGCTAGGAGCGGCCGCGGACCAGACAATGACCGATCAGTCGGGTTTTCCTCCGCGTCGGGTTAGGCGAATAAAGACGCCGACGCTGTTTAAACGAAGGGACTTTGCAGAAGAAAGGGAGCAAAAGATGTGGAGTGTGGAGCGTGCCTCATAAGATTTTGAGCTTAGGAGGCGGCGATGGGAGGAGGCAGCTCGCAGAGGGTCTTTAAGGGACCTGGCTCGGAATTTCTCTTGCATCTGGCCCAAGAGAAGCGAGGAGAGTTTGGGTTTGAGCCCAAATTAGCTCGATGCGTGGTTCAAAAGGTTGCATCGGCTGGAACCTGGAGATGCGTCCAGGAGGACCATCCAGAAAGATGAGACCCAGCTCACCTTTGTCTTGGCGGCTGGCGCTCTGAGATTTCTAGGGAAACGGTGGGCAGAGGGAGCCCAGGATAATTAAGCCTCCTAAGCTTTTTGTATATCGGGGCATTTGAGAGCAACACAAATGTTCATTGGAATTTTGGAGAATTATTATTCTGATCTCTAAGGCCGGCCTACACCCGTATCAACATAGAAAACTGTAAGGGGGACAGAGGTTCCCAGCTCCGGTTTGGAGAAAGATATTTTCCGCCAGTGAGTGGGCGCGGCGCGGGGCGGAGCGGGCGCCGCCTCCTTTCGCAGCGGAGCGGGCCTGGCGGCGCGAGGCTGCGGCCTCGGCGGAGGT